AGTATGAGATACTCGTGCCTAATATTGGGACTAATGTTATATATTTACGTAATTTTCCTTATTTTCTTAGTTACCTTTCTAAGTAAATATAAGCATTCTAATAACATATAATAGTCTCAATCCCCTATCAAGTAAAGCACTTAATCTCTCTTAGAACGGTATACCGATCTGACGCGATGTCTATAATTGGGTATTAGCGTTAATACTTTGCTCGGATACAACCCGCTCAATAGAAAGATTCATTACCATCTCACTACCCTACCTCTTAACCATTATGGGTATTTAATGAAATAAAAATTTTAGTAATATCATTACTTCTGTATGTATTGTTTTGTACACTATATTCGAATGTAATTTTAAGAATATATAAATTAATGTGCAATAAGGATAAAAATTACTAATTATTTATTTCTTATATTTAGTATATTTAGTTAGATCTATTTATTATAAATATGTGAGTGCGATATATTGATAAAGTCATGAAAACATTTATTTTATTATACTAGATTGATAATAATTTAAGATTATGTTTCATAAAAAAGCAATTTCAGTTGTAGCAAAATCAATTATTTTGATTTAAAAAATAAAGTTATATTAATTTAAAAACTACTGAATTGATTTTGATAAAAGTATATCCTTTCAGATAAAAAAGGGTTTTTCAAATTGGTTTTTAACTGACGGAGTTATGAGGTAACAAACAAAAGAATTCTATCGAATAGGGAATCGCCTTTTTTTGAAGTCGGTAAAAAGGCATCATATTAATCAAAATTTAAATAACATATTATAATATGTATATACAGATAATATAGAATAAATGTGGCGATTATTATTTAATTGTTAGAAACATTAAAAATATTTGACTTTAGATGATTATTAATCCGTTTTTTATAACTTTGTCGTGCTTCCACGTGATATAGACTTAAAGATAGAATATGATGCAGAAATAATTTCGGAAAATTCATTATCTAAAATTAGCAAATTTAACAGATTTCTTTAAGAATAAATTCTATTTGAGGCTCTTCCATACATTTGTAATGACATTTCTCTTGCTTCATGCGTACGGACTCTTCAACGCTATAAACGCTGCGTAATGGTAATTATGCAGCACTTATAGCGTTAATGGCATTCCATTTTATGCCAAAAATTTGCAGATTTTATCTAAGGAGATAACGTAATATAAAATACAATTGCAAATATAGAATTTTTTAATCGTTTATTTTCGAATACGTAGTGTATATTTTACAACATTTTGTATCAATACAATGAGTTTTAGTGAACTACAATATTCTTTCGGTCTAATCTATTACATGTATTTACTTAATTTAATAATCTCGATCTAATCAAAAATTTTCTGCTTGATTATCTGAATTATAAAAGTCACTAGGTTACAACTATAAAAAACAACTACCTATACTAAAATACATTTACTCTTCTTTTTTGTCCGGTTTGTTTCTATAACATTTACCATGATCTAATCAGGTAAAACAATAGGGTAGGATAATACTTAACAAACAAAATCAATGCCAGTAATCTACCACAAGACCAGGTTTTCTCCAATACAGTAAGACCACATTATTTTGCCCTGTTAGTTATTTTCTCAGCGAGAGAAAGCTCCTTTCAATATCAAGTTTCACGACTAAATTCATTTGATAATTAAACGTCTTATTAATTGATAATCAGAGTGGAGTGAAAGCTAACAATGTTCATCCTTACAAACTTGTTTGCCAATCTTCGTCGATTTTTAAAATAATTTCATCAGTCTAGACGGTGGTCGGACGGAATTGAGGCAGGGATGTGTGCCCCGGGGATATAGCAATATTGCAAACCAATAAAAATCATATCCGATTTTTCTTCAGAATAATAATCGACTGATATTTTTCTATTAAAACTAATATTGACTGGTCAGTTAATTTTACTGCTGACTGTGTACTACAATCTTATCAATATATATTAAAATAATAACTAAAGATTGTGTCCCACAAAAAAAAACCAGTTTCATTTGTGACAAAACAAATTTAAAATAAAGTATTTTTATATAAAAACTTAACTATTAAACTTCTATAGCATCAAATTGTTAGTATCCTTACATAAAAAAATTTAATTAAGAACCTCCTTCTTTTTAAAGTCGGTTGAAAAGTACTCCCGTCTAAATTTCATTAGAATTCGTTCAACGGTTCAACTGTGATCGACTAATTCAAATAGCAAATTTCCAAATATCTTTTGCAAAATTTCAAATTTAATATTAGAATATACTTTTTTCTTTTGCAATATGAAAGTTTCCTCTTATAGGAGTATTAGCTAACATCCAATAACTTTCTGTAAAGGGGTCTATACCAAACCATATCCTTTTATTCTGTACAAACAAAAAAAAAAAATGTTAAGTAGTATCAACATACAAATGCCATAGTTATCGGTTTATTTATCGTCTATTACTCTACATATAGACCTGCGTCTTTTCTTTCGTCCTTACATTGAATCCCTTTACGATCAATTCCATAATGAAAACCGCAACGATATTGCAACGACTCAGTTATAAATCAATTTCATTTTTCTCATCCTTAAATGCCGATTTTAAATTAAATGAATAAATTTTATATAATTTAAATTAATATAAATAATAAAATAAGATTCGAACGAAATATTGTTGAAATTAGAATCGTATTAAGTTTTAATATCAGATGAATTAAAATAATAATGTCTCTGGTTCAAATCATACGGAGTTGAATTGAATCTTATCAGTGAATTAAATTAACTGTTTGTATTGTCTTATCGAAAAAAAGTCCGCCACTACCAACTTTGATAATACTTTATTTAATCTAATGAATTTCCAATATCAACGATATTTGAACGAACTATTTCTATATCTGCTGATGTACAGAAAACTCCATCATTAGTATACAAAAAAATTAACTGTAACGCTACTGTAGGTACCACAATAGATATTAGTAATATAAAATGTGCATAATTTTGCAGGTAATTTTTAAGGTAACGATTATCCAAATTTATATAAGTATTATATTTTTATTACTAAACGGTCAAGCACGACGAACGTTTCATCACAATACGAGTACAAACAAAAAATCTCTAAATTCAAGTTGGGGTTCCGTCAATATTTTGTAGTTTCCTTGTGATATTTTCGACTCTCAATGAATATTGGCCGTGTGGTCCCGGCATAGAATAGGCCACCCTTCTTTTCCCGTGAGAGTCGTAAGAACCGACTAAAGGAGGGCGAAGGATAGGCAGCAACATCCCTCTTAAATATCTCTAAAGCCTGACTGCGATTACCAATTCGCCTGCCAAGCACGGCAACTACTGGCAAAATCCCCCAAGGGGGAGGCTTATGTGGACAGTTAAAGGCTGATATGATGATATTATGATGAATGAATATATCGTTCACATCAATCTTGTAAATATTTTCTATACTCAAATATGTTCAATGGATCATTGGATCATGCGAAATATGGATATGCGAAATATATTTACAAATATATATATATATATATATATATATATATATATATATATATATATATATATATATATATATATATATATATATATACAAAATACATGTTTAAAAATTATAAATAACATCTACGATTTTAAATGATCATGATTATCCTCGCAATAAACAATACAAAAATTCAGCTATTTATTATCGTTTGAGCTGATAAAGATAGGAGTTGTTGTAAATTATTAAACAGAACCCTGAACTTGAAAAAAAAACTGAAACTTTGACGACCCCATTAACGCATTTATTTTATTTCAGAATTACGTCTTCAGACAAAATGGACAAAAGATTTAATTCGTGCAAAAATGTCCATCGTATATCTACGTCAGGACAAATCCGTGCAGTGACATTTTTTGCAGCCATTTCATCGGTTAAACGTCTTCTTTATAATTTGTACTCATAAAATGGGTGAATAAAAGGTACCTAACTTCATGTTACAATTTCTATTGTTGCGTTTGGCGGAATCGTGAATCTCGTCTGCTCAGTAACTGCACCTCTTAACGGTTCAACTTTGACACACAAAACGAGGATTTCACATAAAAATTCCCAACTATTGAAACTCGGGTTAAAGATAAGATAGCTATGTGAGAATACTGAGACGCCGCGCTTTTGTAAAACTAAACGCTAAACAACGAAGAAAATAAAATATACAATTAAATAATATTATAACTATCTGTATATATAGATAGGTACATAAAATTAGAATTTAAGTTGAACATTGATTTTTAAACATGTATATCAATGAGGCCAAATTACAGGTCCAACAATCCGTGTACAAAGTTCAATACTGCCAAAATAAAGCAATGGGCCAGTCGCATCTCTACACGCCCCTATCTTGGGTTCAATCAGCAAAAAATATAAAAATTCACTGTTAAGTTTATTTTAATAGCAACAATCGCAATAGTGACACTAATAGTAATGTAGTGTAAGACATTTAAGGTACCCATTATCTTTTATTTCTCAAAAGTATATATATAATATAAGACTTCCTAAAAACAAAGCGAAACATTACTTGAATATAGGAATGCCAAAGCAGAACAGAAAAAAACAAATTGTTTTATCGTCTTTATAGTTGTCTTGTACTTACCTATATTTTTTCTATAATTAGCTATTTCTTCAATATCAATGATCTCATTGGCTTTCTTTATCTTTTAAACAAATTCCCCCCCCCCCCCCATCAGCCGTAATCTATCAACTACTGAAAATAGTCCTCCCATATAAGAAGTATTTTGCCAGTTGCCACGTTTGGCAGGCGAGTTGGCATAGGCTTTGGTCCTGCTATTATAGTAGTAGTACCTGCTAGTATCATCTCCCGGCCATTATGTTTCCTTAGTCACCTCTTACAACACCCACGGGAAAGGAACAGATAGCTCACTCTATGGCGGGACCACACGGCAAAATAAATAAATGTCATGCCAGGAATATATAAAAATGCGTACGAATTTATGTGTTTATATATTGTCAAAAACTATCAACTTTATATAATTACCCTTGGGAACATGAGATGCGGGTTCTGCTCGAGTGAAGCCGCAGAATATTTTTCTATTTCTTTTTTTTTTTTTGACGTGGTATGGAATCCTATCAAATTGTATTTGTGGTTTTCAATTGCACAATAAAATGACGTAGGTATATATTTTATCATCCGCGAAATATTATCAAATGTGGTGATACTATTAACGATAACGTTATCAGTTTACGTGCCATGATTTTTTGGAGTATAATACACAAATTACGCGCCGCAATGGTAGGCACATTACGTAAATGAGTTTCCGGATCCTACTTAGACCAATTTAGGATGTGATTTTTTCTTAGTCAATTCAACTTTCAGTACAGTAGGTAATTCCCCCAGGTGTTTGTTATCTGGTTTATCATAAAGGTAGAATCAAAACCAGCAAGTGAATCCTCGTTCCACTTCTAGCTGTTACAGCTTTAACTGGCATTTGTGAGCATTCTTTCGTAATGTATGTATGTAACCGGTTACATGAACTCGCTTTTCATTTATTTGTGTAGAGATATTAAATATAATAAAGAAGGAAATTTATAGTATCTTGTAATATAATTTTTATTAATGTTATAAATGATTAATAAGTGAGTTTATTCGTTCATTTTTTAAACTTTGGCGATTTAATGACTCAACTATCATCATAAAATTTGGCATAGACTTGGATATAGTCAAGTTAAATTTAGTATAAGCGTATAATGCCTAACATAACTTTACCGTGGATTATGTCAGATTGCGGTACGACTCGCTTGGCTAAGTATTAGATATTATCTTCATGGCGGTGATGCATGAAGCTTGTATCATCTCTGATATCTTGGAAGTCACAAAAAGAAAGAAGCACCATGGGCTTTATACTTATATTTATACAACACTTTAGTTGAACTACAGTATATATATACACATATATATACTATAGTTCAACTAAAGTGTTGTTCTTTTTTAATGTAATCGGTTAGTTAACCGATTTAACTTATTGTATAAAAGTATAATGTATACTTACGATTTTACGTGTTGCTCAATCCCATGACAACAATAAGCATTATAGTGGATATTGGTAGAAGGACTAATAGCTACATTGCCAAAATTATATAGCCTATCAAATCGATCTAAATGTGACAACCCTTAGAAATCGTCGTTGTTAGTTCCAGGTAAATTCATTGCAATACACCAACTAACCCGATTTCATCCTCACTTATCAATCCTCACTGGCATTCCGTGTAATACCGGTGTCACGAACGAGGTAGCTATTCTATTTTCATTTTATAAAATAAACGGTTATCACTTTCAATCAGGTACCTAACCCGTCAACTTGTATCCCATTTCCAATACAAAGAACTAGTCAAGAGCGTAGCAAACACGCGTTTATATGGTTTAATAGCTATGTTTTATGGTATTAACTTGATCAATTTTGGCAAAGCGTATTATAAAAAGTGACCGAAATATTTTTAATTAAAAAATCCGTGTGGTAACGGTGTAAGTATACAATATGTCTCTATTCGATCTCGCCCCCAGGATATCTTAAGAAGCGAATAAGGGAGTATAGCAGAGACCACTATTACAAGAAAAGGAAAAACTCGAAATAAATCCCTTTACCCATACACTCCGCCAGCAAACTAATAGTAAGCTAGAATTTATGTACGTTAAAAATGAGAGCTCGTCTGACTGTTGGGCAACCACACATCGCAATTGTAACAAGCCTGATTGTAAGGACTTCCCTTTACACTTCATAAATCACATTTAGTAAAAGCTATATTATTATATTTTACTTTTAAAAAAGGAAAAGTTATTTCTAATATAAATCAGAAGTACCCTTTTGTTTTTTAAAGTAGTATTTACCAATAATCGTTAAATCAATTCAAGTAGTTCACATGAATATATTTACATATTAAAATATTCTAATAATCTTTCCAATTCAGAAGTTGTGTCTAAAAGATTTGCATGATTAATTATATTATTAATCAACCAACAGTCAGTTACGTAAGCGTATTTAATACATACATATTGATTTTCTAGTTATAGAAGTTTTGAGCTTTTGGAAATCCCTCTTAGGAAATAATGCTAATATGGCAATACTGAAATAATTATATTAGTTATATTATCTTAAAAAATGGTCACTAAAATGATAATTAAGTTTGTATACTTACAGACACGGACAGCGAAATACAGCAATGATTAATATTAGTCAAATGCTTTTATAATTGATTAGTCATGACATTAATAAAAATTATAATTAACAATTACAACCCTGTAAAATATAAGCAATCCGTCGCAGTATATATCAAGCGCATAAAAAGGATGCAGCTCCATTTAAAAATGCACTGGTTTCCTTGTGAGACCTGATAACCTGCATCATTTGATCTATGTCTCAATGATGCCGCCGTGAGGGCGCGTGCGCGGTCAACGACCACGATGTGCAAGTTCACTCGTACATGGGAAGTGAAGTTGCGCGCAGACACGCGCAATGGACTTGCTACTGAACAGTAAGATAGGGTTGTCGATAGTAAAATAAATAAAATTATAGAAACTCTTTATTTTACAAGTACTAGAGTTTGCTTGATAGCTTGTCTATAAATGGTGACAATAGCAATAATATGCATGTATATGGTATACAACTGACTTCAAGATTTATTCTCACCTTATTATAATTTTTTTTAAATCGTGGAAAGAGATCGTTAGTAAAGGTATCTAATGGTTGTATTGCTAGCTATATACCCTATTAGGTCGACTTCTACTCGGTTTCCCCTGGAAACCACTATGGTTAATTTTTGTACAATTCGTCACTATGAACTAACTGGCTTCCTTACTGATAGTAATAGCGTAGGCGTAGTTACCATTGTATGTCATGTATAAAAAAGAACTTTTGCAAATCTTATCAAAAGTTCGTTCCTTTTTAAGCTGTTCTTAAAATAAATATGTAGTAGAAATAATCATCGAAATTAATTATTTTCAGTAAATGGAATGCGTTTTCTTTGATCAAAATTAATTAATATAGGTATAATAAAACTACAGGATACAGAAAAATAAAAACCTTCGTCCTCACCGAAAACTCCTCATTTATTGCCACTCTTAAAAATAGAGGCTTCATATGTATACTACAGATATATGTATACATATATAAAGGTATATGAAGATTGGCAATGGTTCAATTGATTGTCCTAATCTTCTTTATCAAATCTCTCCACGTGACTTAACCATTAAAATTAAATGCCACCTTATTTTCTCCATTTGTTTCCATCAAACTATAGTAAAAATTCATATCTCTGACGTACGACAACTTTAATAAAGTGTCTAGAGATTTCGAGAGATTTCGATTTAGATTTTATTAATTCTAAAATAAAATTCTCAAGTCGTGTCCTCGAGTCAGTAGTTCTTTGATAATTCACCTTTACACGTGTGAGAGTCAACTTCATATTTTGTTTAACTACCTACTGCCAAAGTATGTATCTATTACTTCCAATTTAATTTAGCTGATTTTAAGTATTTGCGAAGTCATATACATTTTGTTAGATCTTGTTTTTATTTGTTAAAATCTAAAGTTGACTTTTTGTCTTTCCTATTGTTTTTATAGTGAAATTTGATACCTATCGGTTTTAATAAATAAGTTATATAAGCGGTAGCAGTACCACATTCTATCAGAAAAGCAACTTATTTTGTTATTCTAAGTTGCATAAAAAAATTACAGGCCCTGAAATTATTGGATATGGCAACACATGAAGGGTATCATGAACGACATAGTGTACTCTGTTATGTCTAATGTACTGATCATGTATATAGGCGATGATTACTACTTTCCATCAGGTGGACTGTCAGCTGGATTGATATTATAGGTTGCATAAAAAAATTAGCAGCCCTACTTACTAAGTCTAAGACCAGTAGTGAACAGTGTGTCCTTCTTGGACCGGCCGTTGCGGCGGCGGCTCGCGGCGAACTATAGTTGTAATCCGGATCAGGTGTCAGTCATGTAACATGCAATACAGACCATTGGATTAGTCGTAAAGTGTGTGTAAGTAATAAAATAAAATAATTATATTCATTTTCTACATTGACTGGAATAACAATTTGTAATGTAGTATTTAGTCGCATAATTTCGCACTTGGACTTGAATGGATTAGATTAATTATTTCAAATAAGTACTTCTTTTTATCAAAAGAAATAGGTATATATGCAGGGGGAAAGGGATTGTTAGTAATGGAGACTGAAAGTCCCATTGTTAGCAATATACCCAACCAGGTCAACCTCCTCGCGGTTCTCCCTGGAAACTATCATGGTTAATTCCTGATGAATTAATCATGATGGGCTAACTGACCTGTTTTCATTCTCATCTATCTCCCTTCACTGGTGCTCCGCCAGCGTATCCCGTTAGCGCAGGCAGGGTTACCATGCCATTGTCACCAATAAAAAATAGGTATATATGTATAATTCTGCCGCGTATATTAATTTTTAACCGCGACTCCATCCATATGTCATGCGGCAGAATTAATTTTGTTACGTCTCCTTGTTTTTTATGAAATTAACTTTATTATCTTCAATTTTAAAATTCTACTATAGATACCAGATATAGTTATATTATAGACATAAGTATCTATCTACATAGTAAATACACAGCATGATTATTTAGATTGTCTACCATTTTTTACAATTCCTAAGTAGATAAGCGACATTATCTTGTGTCAAATTTTGTTACTTTTATTATCATCATTTTGTCTACGTCATTAGATACTAAATGTACTCATATTGATAGAATTCTTTCCAAAGTTCTTTTCAATATTTATGAATCGGTCATCTGCCAAAATACAATTAGTAATTTATTTTCAGTAATTTTCACGCTTGGACAGAAAAAATCCATATAAGCTACATCAAATAATAATAAATTGTGATGAAAAAAATGGTTTTAATTTTTTGATAATAATACCATAACACCATCTAGTGGAACTAACTATAGACAGCTGATAAAGATGCTAACACAGGTACATTATAAAAATATATACGTGAATATGAAAAAACTATACATAAACACTTAGATTGATACACACAGATATGATTATGAATACAAATCTCTGTATTATTTCTGTATTGTCTCTGGACCAAATCGGATGGCGAGACGGCGTATTACCCCTGTACCAGTGAAATTTAAAATAACTAATAAGCAAGCTATATAGTAAGTTAAATAGTTACAACTTAATGTTGGTAGATATAAATGTCCGCTTACTAATTAAGT